ATCGATCCCACTGAGTTGCTTAGCATCTTGTTTTTGCTAAGGCTAGCTTTGAACTTGAGATCCTCCTGCCTCAGCCTCCTGAGTTGCTGGGATCACAGGCGTGTGCCACCAGGCCGGCTCTCTTTTTATTTTGACACAGGATCTCACTAAGTTGCTTAGAGCCTCAGGCTGGCTTTGAACTTGTGATCCATCTGCCACAACCTCCCAGGTCACTGGGATTACAGGTGTGTGCTACTGCACCCAAGTGTCTCCTCACTTTTGATTTGCTCATTTTCTTTTCAACTTTTTTTTTTTTTTTGGTACCAGGGATTGAATCTAGAGGCACTAAACCACTGAACCACATCCCCAGCCTTTTTTTATTTTGAGACAGGGTCTTGCTAAGTTGCTTAGGGCCTCACTAAGTTGCTAAGGCTGGCCTTGAACGCACCATCTTCCAGCCTCAGTCTCAAGAGCCACTGGAATCACAGGCATGTGCCACCACAACTAGCTCAACTTCTTATTTAAATGTTTGATTCGGGGGCTGGGGATGTGGCTCAAGCGGTAGCGCACTCACCTGGCATGCGTGCGACCCAGGTTCGATCCTCAGCACCACATACCAACAAAGATGTTGTGTCCACCGAGAACTAAAAAATAAATATTAAAAATTCTCTCTCTCTCCTGTTTGATTCGTTTTCAGAGGTCTCGGTCCATGGTCAGCTGCCTTCCCGGGCTTGAGGTGAGGCAGACATCACACAGGAGGTCGTAGGAGGAAAGCTGCTGGGCCCGTGGCCTCCACTATGGAACCTTTAAACGTGACAGTGGGACACATTTGGTTTCTCATACTTCTCCCCAGGACAGCTCTAGCCAGCTCCCCACTCCCTCGTTGGTATGGTGTGTGGTGGCTCACCATGTGACTTCAACAGGTCACCAGTTGAAGGGGGAAATCAGAGAGTGGTATACTCCAAAGCCAAACCGACATTTGCCTTTTTTAAAAAATATATTTATTTTACAGTTGGACACAAAACCTTTATTTCACTCATTTCTTTCTTTATTTATTTTTTAAAGAGAGGGTGAGAGAGGAGAGAGAGAGAGAGAGAGAGAGAGAGAATTTTTAATATTTATTTATTTATTTTTTGGTTCTTGGCGGACACAACATCTTTGTTGGTATGTGGTGCTGAGGATGGAACCCGGGCCGCACGCATGCCAGGCGAGTGTGCTACCGCTTGAGCCACATCCCCAGCCCCTCATTTATTTTTTACGTGGTGCTGATGGTCAAACCCAGGGTCCGGCGCGGGCGAGATGCGCGCTCTACTGCTGAGCCACAACCCCAGCCCCTGTGTTTGCCTTTAATTATGGACTAGGGCAGTTGTGGTCCCAGCAACTCAAGGGGCTGAAGCAGGAGGATCCCTAGTTCAAAGCCAGCTGCAGGAACTTAGCCAGACACTAAGCGACTTAGAGAGACCGTGTCTCAAAATAAAACAAGAAAAGGGCTGGGGATGTGGCTCAGTGGTAAGGAACCCTGAGTTCAATCCCCAGTGCCCAAAAGAACCATGAAGCGGCACTGCCCAGATCTGAGGCCCTGGGTTCTGTACCTGCTGAAGGGACTTTCTGCTCCAGGAACCTACGAGCGTGCGCACTTCTCACTCTGCCGGTTTCTCTTTGCTCCCCTCGCTGGCTCTCCCAGGTCCTAGGGCAGACTTTCTCTGGGTGGTGTGCAGTGTCCACGAGAGGGCAGTAGAGGCCAGCCTAGCCAGAGGCAGTGCCCTGCTTCCTAGCTGCCGCCGGCCTTCTCACCCTGGGAACCAGGTGATCCATCCTCCAAGCCCACGAGAGAGCTCCTGCCCCTATTTGGGGGCAAGTGTTAGACCAGGACGCAAGAAAAGACCACTGACTCCAATTGAAATCAAATTAAAGCAATTTCAACCAGCCGGGCTGCCTCTCCCAACAAAAACTGCGAGAGCCAAAGACAGCCCCGAAGCTTTCTTGTAGCCCAGCTTCATAGCCCAGAAAGTTACACAAAGGGGGGTTACAGATAACAGAACTCTGACGAGCATAGCACTAATGCTAGTGTTACATTTTTGTAGTTTACATTTTGCTAGTTTACATTTTTGCTGGCCCCGACATCAGAATTTATGAAGGTCATTAGAGCCTCAGAGAGGGTCGTTGTCTGGCCAGGGAAGGCCAAGATTTATGAGGCGTCACTAAGTTTGAGAGAGGGCTGCTATCTGGTCAGAGAGCCAGGCATGGGTGAGTTCAAGGCACGGGCAGGCATTCCAGGCAGGTTCAGAATCTGCAGTAATTTATAGTAGAGCCGAAATTAGCTTTTCATGGCTTTGTGGTGAGATGGCTCCCAATTTTAAGAAAAGATCAGGTTGGGTCTATCACCAGGCCCTGACATAGCTTGGTGGAAAAAGCTGGGCCTACCTGGAGCCCCTGATAATCTCTCGGAGCTCTGGGTTTCAGATCCCATCTGAGCAACAACTCCAAGAAGCTCCTAACTTTAAAACCTAAAAGTAAAGTAGATCGGATGACAACATGAGATCACTGGAGACTCCAGCGTCTCCCCTGACAAGAGCCCACCCTTGACCTGCTGCCCTTCAGTGATGCTGCCCCTCCATCTTGCTCTCACAGCTGTGCTCCCATAAAGCTGTCCGCCTGGCCAGGCGTCCACTTCCACATCCTCATGTTACAACTGCTGCTGAGCCCACCGCGTCCGCGTCCTCCACCCTCCTGCCAGAGCCAGGAATATGAACATCACACGCAGTGGAGACTCTTTGGTCTGAATTCATTCCCTCATTCCCCATGTTCCTACCTCCTTCCCTTCTGTATGGATGAATGGTCATCACCACTTGCCCAAACAAGAAACCTCTTGGAAGTCATTCTAGAATCTCTACCTTCCTGATTCAAATCACAGGTTCCCTCAGTTCCTCCTAACCATGTCGAGAGTCCACGTCCTGTTTTCACACCACTGCATAGATCCAGAACTCAGTCTTCCAACTGCCCGTTTGCCCATCCATCTAGCCATGTGGTTATTCAGCAAACACCAGCTGACAGCTACAGATGCCACAACAGGACTGACGAGGCCTGCTCACCGGGGTCCACATGCTTGGTACCCACACAGTGAAAATAAAGTAAATGAGATCATATGAGACAGGGTAGTGTGATGGAAAATGGCCGGGGGGAATGAATCTTTTAATTAAAAATGTAAAATTGTCTGGGCGAGGGCTGTGGAATTGGCTCAGTAGTGGAGAGCTTGCTTAGCATGCTGGAGGCCCTGGATTTGATCCCCAGCACCAGAGATTAAATCACGATAATGCTGGGGAGGCTGCTCCAATCAGGCCCCAGGAGAGGACTCTCAGGCGGTGACGGGCAGCCACGTGGAGCCCTGAGGCGGCCTGAATACTCAGTTTCTCAGCCTCGTTTTCAGAGGGGCATGTACATAGTTCTGGCCAAAGAGATGTCAACTGGGATGAGAGTCCCCTGGGATGCCGTGTGTGCTGGGGAAGCTCACTTCCTGAGAGGGAGGACACATCCTCTACAGAGCCCCTTCCTGGTCCTACTGCTCCTTCTCTGGGGAGAGAGGAGACTCCCTGGACCAGCATGAGCAGCTGCCTCCTCCAGGCGCACTGTGGAAAAAGCCGGCCCTGGTGATTCAGCCACTCTCGCTGGAGTTCCGTCTTCCTCTCGTCACAGAATACGGCCACTTGGATCACTAGCCGTGGGAAGGTCTGGGGAAGGGAAAGAGACAGAGTTCAAAGCCTCTGAAGTGGGAACTTGACCGGCTTGAGGAAGAGGCAAGACCCGTGTGGCTGGAGCACTGTGAGAATGGAGCAGAGCAGGATGGAGGGCGCCGCAGAGCTTTGTGGCTGTGGAGAGCTAACAGGGCTTTGTCTTTCACTTTTATTTTGGAGGTGCTGGGAATTGAACCCAGGGCCTTGTGCATGCAGACAAGCTCTCTACCACTGAGCTAGGTCCCCGCCTGAGAGCTAACTGGTTTCTAAGTTCATGGGAGGCCAGTGAAGGGTTGGAGGAAAGTCCTAGCCTGACTTAGGTTTCCTAAAAGACACTAGTTCCAGGTTCATTGGATTAGACAAAGGGGAATGAAGGGAAGGGA